TGCTCTACTGCAGGGTTTAAGCAATGAAAGGTGTATGCAAAACAGGAATTCACAAAACGGCAATGTGTTTTCAGGGTACAGATAATAATTAGCAAAAGAGAAACAGAGACAATGGGAGTGATGCAAAGTCCAATAGGCGATATTGGGTGATATTTAAAGAACAGACAGGCATCTGGGAATTCTGTCTGATTCTGAAGAACTAGCACAAGAGATCCCAACCACTGGGTCACAGACCAATACTGGTCTGTGGCTTGTTAGGAACCAGGCCGCACAGCAGGAGGTGAGTGGCAGGTGAGCAAGTATAACAGCCTGAGCCCTGCCTCCTGTCAGATCAGCCAAAGCAGTAGATTCTCATAGGAGTGCAAACCCTATTGTGGACTGTGCCTTTGAGGGATCTAGGTTTCACTCTCCTTATGAAAATCTAATTATAAATGTAATGTGCTTGAATCATCCTGAAACCATCCTCTTCCTCCCCTGACCTTGTCTTCCAAGAAACTGGTCCCTGGTGCCAAAAAGGTTGGGGACTACCAGACTAGTGGGATAGGCAGAGTCTTAGTTTTAACAGAAACATACATCCTCAGAAAACAAAAATTAGCTCAGACTGAGTGAGTAAAAAATCTGCCTGCCGTTTATCAGACTACATTAATAGACGTACATAAAGACAGCTGCAAACTGAGCAGGAAATAATATTTCTCTTAAGTATGTTGAAGCTATAAAATAACAACTCGCTTTGTTGAATGACTCCTGCCTTATTAGTCATTAAGAAACCTTATTTTTTTTCAAAAATCAAAGATTATCAAAGACTTTGTTGTTGTAGATTATATTGGTAAGAATGAAACACTCCATTCTTGCCTGGATAGTCTAAGCTCCTTTGACACACAGAAGCATTCTCAATTTACAACCCAGGTGCAGAGAGATTCAGATAAGGGGTTTCTGGATACAACAGTTCATATTTGTCTTAACTTTGTACATTGTAAAGAAACAGGAGCCTGGGTCTATTTCATAGTCCAAATCCTTATCCCTGCCTTGCTTTGAACATTTCAAACACTACTTCATTTAAATACCATCTAAATTCCACTCTTTCCCACAATCTTATAATAATTCTATCTTTTCCTTTGCTGAGTCATCCCTTGCTCTGGTCAACAGTCGCCTTCATTGCATTGGGTCCATAAACTCAACTGTATCAGGTAACAGTTGACATAGCTTGCTCCTGGTGTTCTCAGACTGATTGGGCTGGGGAAATTCTCATCCATTTACCAGAATAGTATGAAGAAGCTAGACAGAAGCCAAGATCGAACATAAGGTCACTCAAAGAGAATTGTTGCTTTGCGACAAGGTCCGAGTCTACTTATAAGATACTAGGATAAGACAAGAAATAACTGTGCCATCGTACCATACCTCAGTGTTGGTCTGTTGCTCTTGCCTTCAGTTCTGACTGGTCTCAGAATAAGAAGATGGAGTTAGGACAGCAAAGAAAGATTAAGTGATTTCAACTGAGGAAAGTGCCAGGAAGGTAGGAACCAGCTGGTTGAGACTGAAATCCAGGAGTGTGCACAAAGATCAGTGATGTAAGCCCAAGCACAGCAGTCCCTGGCCACAGGGTTTGGCTGGGTTCTCACAAAGGGAGATGCCTGGGAATTAAAATCTGCAAAGGGCAAAGAGTTTCCTCCCCACTGAGCTTTCTTAATCTCTTTGAAGAGAAAAAGACCAGGGAGGAAAATAAGGAAACAGAGTAAATGAGAGAGGGGTAGAGAAGGTGGCAAAGTCCAAAATAATGAGTTTGGGAATAAGTGAAGTGCCTTCTGATCAAGCTCTATAAAGTCGGTGTTTTGTGCTAGAGTGGGAACTGGGAAAACTCATGGAAAACAGGTTTAGTCTTACGTATTGGTGATCTTTAGACTTTGCACTCTTTTTCTGAGCTGCAAGACTGCCCCATAGGAATTGACTTTTTTCTTTAATTTTTCAGCATCTGAACCCAAGATCCCTGTTCAGAGGGTAGAGGATGGGAACACTGTGTTGTTGGTTTGTTTCATTCTCTAGAGGATTTGCTTCTAAGCAGTAGTGAATGGATCACTGTGAGAACACAATGGTATTTTCATCTATGACTGAACTATTCTCTTCCTGCTCCTTTTAGGGAGAGGAAAATCTTTCCTGGTTATTTTGGTCTAAAGTGTTTCAAAATTTCCATTACAAAGCATAAAGCAAGTTTGACTTCTGGGAAATTATACTTCAGTTAATAATTTTAAATGCATTTGTATGGTGAGGTATAACTTTATAAAGGTTATCTTTCTATGTAAAAAATAGATTTTATAACAACAACAAAAACCTGTCACCATATTTCCTGACTGGTGGTATGAGTTGATGCAGAAGGAATTCTCCAGTCAGATGGGGAAGACAAGACCACCTCTGAGAGTAAGTTTTCAAATCTTGTCCTCAGTCATAAGTGGAGTAATCCATGCAGCCAGAGAGAAATCTTGAATTTCTAACAAATCCACCAACACCATCATGATGGTGTCTTGTTCAAGAGTGACAATGTTTCCTTGGCTCTTTTCCTGTGGTACAGATAAATCTAGAAACACATTCCACTGCCATTCCTCCCTGACCCCTCTGCACATACACCCTTCTTTCTTTCTTGTTTTTTTTTTTTAATATCTGCTTCAAAGTGGGAAAGAAACTTAGAGGCTTCTAAGGAAAAAAGTGAATGTGAAAAAGTAAATATAAAATGATTACTAGCAGTAATTATTTTCCAAAGCAATGGCTTTCAAACTTTTAAAACTACAACCAACAGTAAGAAAGGTATTTTACATTAGGTCCTACTACATGTACACTTAGACATATTTGTGTGTGTGCATATATAGATAGATATGATCCAGCTTCACAAAACAGTACACTATAATTTTTCTTTTTTATTCTTTGGTTTTATAAAATATTTATCATTAGTCACTAAATTGGTATGATCTACTAAATGAGTGGCCCTGCAATTTAAAAAGTACTGTTATTGTGGGCAATATTAGCAGGCAATGTCTTAATCTTTATTCCAGAAAATAACTCACAATAAACTTTGCTTCCTAATACCAGACTTCTTGTGTTCAAAGGATCTACTTTTGCAATGTTCTTTCATAGTGTGTCTGCTCCATTCTAGCCCTGAACATCCAGAAGTCAATGCAGATGTTATTGTATAAGAAAATCAAGATTATTTTTTGTTGTTTCTGATATCAACCCTAGATTCTAAACATCCCTGCCCTCAAATATTTCTTAAGGTAAAATCTTTATAAGCACTGACTAGAAATTGATCCAGCCTCTTACCACAGGCAATATCTGCAGAGACTCTTATTGGACTGGAAATGGCTTAGAAAGTGATGGAACAATAAGGGCAGATCAAACCTTATGGCACTTCATACAATGAAATCAAGCACACCTGTGAAGAAAAATGAAGTTGATCTGTGTGCTATGAACCAATATATAGGGTGTTTGTTAAATTGAGAAAAGCTAGATTAACATATTGTATATAGTAGACTTCCACATGTTTTTAAAACGGGAATGTATGTGCACAGAATATTTGTGAAAGGCTCCACAAAATATTGGTGATGGGAATGGCTTATAGGCAATAGGAAAGAGAAATAGAGGGCTGGGAGTCCAGCAGGGTCAAGATTTAATATGAAACTTCTGTAGACCTTTTTATGGTGTTTGATTTTTTTTTATTTTGTGCATATACATATATTCTTTTTTCAATTAAAAATAGTTAATTTTAAAAGAAATATTATACATCAGATTTTGTGATAGAAGGGGTATTTGCAGATTCTTTAGGACGAAGAGAATTTTCCATGTGAGCAATTGTATAAATGGATGTTTATTATAACACTGAGATTTATCGCCTTTATTTTTATATCTTGTATGGTTTACAGAGTTCCATGTCCATTGCCTGACTTAGTGTTTATAGCCACCTTTTGAAATAGTTGTGACACATACTAGAAGCAGTGCTGTACAAATTAAAGCAAAACAAAAAAACCTCTAAAATATAAAGAACTTTAAAACCTAGAACATATTTTAAGGAAAGAAGTTCAGAGTCATGATGTGGCTGTGATGTGGTAGAAACCTGGACATTTTATACTCTCAAGAGTTACCAAGAAGTTTATGAATAATATTTTAAAACTCTTCAACAATATTTCTTACAATGTTGATCCATTAACTAAAGAACACTTGCATAGAGGAGGAAGAAGGCAGAAAAATAAACCTCCTGAAACTCTTTTTATAAAATATGCCTGTTACTAGAAGGTAAATTGTCAACTACTGGTTTAAAATTAACATTAAAAAGGTTGTGTTCATAATCTCACTCTATAGATTTTCAGCTTTGCATTAGAACAAAGCTAAAATAATTACCTCATGGAAAAAGATGGAGATTTCAAAGCATCACTACTAAACCTTGAAAAATACCCTTAAGCTCTGTGGGTTAGGATTATAGTATCTCCCAGTTTCCCTGGAACAATCCCAATTTATATCTCCTGCATCCATATAATTACACATAGCACCCCTTTCATTCTCCAAAGTGCCCTAGTTTAGATGATAAACTATATCTCCACCCTATTAAATGTTCATCTCTATTCTCATACACTTTAAGATTGTTATTTTCTAGGAATTGGACTTCATCTTGGGCCTAAGAATTACCTTCATTCATGCCAAAGCTGAGTGATATATACTCAGATTGTAACTGTGTAAAAGAGTTTTCCAAACCATTACCCACCAGCCACTTTAGCTTTATTAAAGAGATTAATAGTGGAAAGGGTGGCTAAGTGTCTGGTTTAGAAGTTTTGGTATGTTCAGGTTTTCAAAAGAAATGTGAACTAAGAATGACTTGGTGAGACTGATGTCAAGATAAATAATTGATGTCATGTAACACAGTTCTAAACATAGAGTTCAAAAAGTCATGCTCTAATTTGAATTCTCTGGGTCGGCAAGTCAAGGTGGTATTGATCTGTGTTAATCTGAGTAACTTATTGCCTAGCTTATAAATAAATTCCAAAATATCCAATTCAAAAAAAAAAGTGATGCTTCTCCAGAGTCATACATGTGTCATTTACTGGTTAATATTTGGAGTGGCTCCTGGGAGTAAGACACTGTTCTAAGCACTGCATCAGATTTGCCAATAGTATTCGGGACTTTGTGCTAAATTTCCTGTGGTTTGCTGAGATTTTTTTTTTTTTTTTAGATTAGATTTTATATACCAACTCATCTCTGAGCTCTTTCCTGACTAGCACTCTTTAAAATTTCGGTGATTTATAACTACTCTATTTGATTGTTAGAAAGTTTATTCCCATGGCCCAGACAGGTTGAATAGTAGCTGCAATATTTTTCATGTAGCAAATGCATTTCTTCCATAGAACAAGCAACTGAATCTGAAGCCAAGTTGGCTATCACGGAACAACATCTTTTACTCAGCAGTAAGCAGATCACCTCTTCAGAATATGTAACTATGGCGACCTAAGGCAATGCCATAGGTTGCTTTTAAGATGTGTTCACCTGCTACATTCTCTGAAGCACACAGCACTTAAATTGAAGTTATCATGTAGTGATTACTTGAGGTTTCTGCGTGAAGTATTAAAGAATATTTTAATTGTTCTTTTAGGTTTAGATTTACACTTTTAACAAAATATTTTCAGAACATGAATATTAACAGGCATGTACCAAAGGTCATGCATTCAGAGTCTCTCTCTGCAGGAGTTAGGCCTTGGTTCTGATTCCAACTGTTTGACTTTATTCTCCTAGTTGTTTTTGTGGATGTTTACATACATCTCCTGTTTATTTCTCCGATTTCTTTACTTTCTTGGAAATCTTTTTTCTTATCCATTACCAAACTTTTACAAAAGGAATCTTGTGGGTTTTTCTTTTGTTCTAATCATCACTAGTTGAGTGGTTACTGTCACTGCCTTCACTGTCACTACTGTCATTGTCACTTCCATTGTTGTTGCTATTTCCAGATTTGCTCTGGCTGTCATTCTCATCACTGCTGTCAGATGTGCTGTCGCTGCTATCGCTGCTGTCACTGCTGTCGCTACTGTTGCTGCTGTCGCTATCACTACTGTCACTGCTATCGCTGCTGTCACTGCTATTGCTGCTGTCACTGCTGTTGCTATCACTGCTGTCACTGCTGTCGCTACTATCACTGCTGTTGCTGCTATCGCTGCTGTCACTGCTATCACTGCTGTTGCTATCACTGCTATCACTGCTGTCACTGCTGTCGCTGCTGTCACTGCTGTCACTATCACTACTGTCACTGCTGTCGCTGCTATCACTACTGTCACTACTGTCACTGCTATTGCTGCTGTCACTGCTATCACTGCTGTCACTGCTATCGCTGCTGTCACTGCTGTCACTATCACTACTGTCACTACTGTCGCTGCTATCACTACTGTCACTGCTATTGCTGCTGTCACTGCTGTTGCTATCACTGCTGTCACTGCTATCGCTGCTGTCACTGCTATCACTGCTGTCGCTGCTATCACTGCTATCGCTGCTGTCACTGCTATTGCTGCGGTCACTGCTATCGCTGCTGTCACTGCTGTCACTGCTATCACTGCTATCGCTGCTGTCACTGCTGTCACTATCACTACTGTCACTGCTATCACTGCTGTCACTGCTTTTGCTGCTGTTGTTGCTGTCACTGCTGTCGCTGCTATCACTACTGTCACTATCGCTGCTGTCACTGCTGTCGCTGCTGTCACTGCTATTGCTGCTGTCGCTGCTTTTGCTGCTGTCATTGCTATCACTACTGTCACTATCGCTGCTGTCACTGCTGTCACTACTATTGCTGCTGTCACTGCTATTGCTGCTGTCACTGCTATTGCTGTCACTACTATCATTGCTGTCACTATCACTGCTGTCACTGCTATCACTGCTGTCACTACTATCACTGCTGTCACTCTCACTGCTGTTGCTGCTGTCACTGCTACTGCTGCTGTCACTGCTGTCTGACTTACTGTCACTATCACTGCTGTCACTGCTACCTGATTTGCTATTGTCTGACTTGCTATCACTACTATCACTGTCACTGCTGTCACTACTGTCACTGCTATCACTATCACTACTATCACTGTCGCTGCTATCACTGCTGTCACTACTGTCACTGCTATCACTATCACTACTATCACTGTCGCTGCTATCACTGCTGTCACTACTGTCACTGCTATTACTACTATCACTGTCACTGCTATCACTGCTGTCACTACTGTCACTGCTATTACTACTATCACTGTCGCTGCTATCACTGCTGTCACTACTGTCACTGCTATTACTACTATCACTGCTGTCACTGTCACTGCTGTCACTATTACTACTGTCAGTGCTACTGCTGCTCTCACTGCTAGCACTGTCACTGCTGTCACTGCTATCACTACTATCACTGCTATTGCTGCTCTCACTACTATCACTGTCACTGCTGTCACTGTCACTACTGTTACTGCTGTCACTACTGTCACTGCTGTCGCTACTGTCACTGCTGTCGCTACTGTCACTGCTGTCATTACTATCACTGCTATTTGATTTGCCTTTGCCTCCGTCTGATTTGCCATTGTCATTATTCCCATTGTTACCATTGCCATTACTGTCACTATCATTAGCGTCTGATGTGCTATCACGGTCATCATCTTCTCCTTTTGAGTCACTGCCATTGCCATTATCTTTTGATTCATCAGAGTTATAAGAAGCATCACCTTGACTATTGCTGTTATTGTTACTTTCTGAATTAGCATCATCATTGCCGTTAGATTCATCACTGCTGTCGGGATCATCTCCTTGCATGGACTCATCATCGAAATCATAACTGTCATAACCATCACTCTTGCTGTCACTACCTGTGTTGCTGTGTTCAACTTTATTTCCTGGTCCCGATTTCTGGCCAGGTACTTCTATGTTGTCAACCTCCCCTTGTGTCTTCACATTTCCTTTGCCCAAGATCACTCCGTGTTGTCCTTTATTCTCTTTATCTTCGTTGGCCTTCACAGCTTCTTTGGTAATATTTCTGTTGCCACTACTGGGACCTTTGATTTCTATTCCCTGTGGAAGGATGAAGGAAAGAATGATGAAATAGTGAATATTTGCTGCAAAACTGTATTGATCTGAGGAAGAATAACTGGGAAAAGTTACCATAGGGATAGGAGTTCCACTTCTAGTACTTCACAGTTATTTGTGAAAATGTGCTTTATTCCATCATTGAAAGCACCCCGGTGTTTAGATTCCTTAAAAACCCATTCACATTCCTACCCAGTAGGAACTTTTGCAAACAATTACGTGGGGGAGCCATAATTTCACATAAAAATTTTCTAGAATTGTAACCAAGTTCTCAGAAATGTATTATTTTTAAAGTTGCTTTGTATCAAAGACTAGTAAAGATTCCAGCTTTCCTTTAAATAGTCAAGTAATGTGGATGCAATAATACATGGATGCTTGTCATGGTTTATTTTTGTGCTAATATCAGTAGATGCAGGGGAAGAATTTAAACTGCCATTGAAAGAAATCAGCTTTACAAACTTACCGTATCTTGGGTCTTCCCAACAGCATGCTGCTCTGATTCTTTGGTGATTCCATTTTCTACACCTTTGCTTTCTATGTGGTTGAGCTGCTGGGTGTCCTCTATTCTTTGGCTGCCATTGTCTTCTGGAATACCAGCAGAATTCTCCTCACTCTTGGAGGTGTTGTCTCCCTCACTGTCATTATGGGGGTCTTCTTTGCCTTCAGGGTCATAATCTTCACTACTATCTGAATTTTGACCTATGCTACTATTACCATCTTTCCCATGGTCCTGGCCCTCCTGGCCCTTGCTGTTATCACTGCTGTCTTTTTCATACCCTGCTTCTTCATCTTCATCATCACCAGAGCCCTTGTCTTCATCCTCATCTGTTCCATTCCCACTAGGACTCCCGTCAGAATTATCCAGGCCATCATCTTCTCCAGTGCCTGGTGTCACCTCAGCCTCCTGAGTCCCATTTCTCTCGCTGTTGATCTGAGGTGTTATTTCACTCGTAGTACCCTCATTTCTACAGGAGTTCTCAATTATTTCATCCTCATTGTCTGTACTGTTATTGCTTCCAGCTACTTGAGGTCCATCTTCCTGGACAACAGCAGCATCCTCATTATGACCTGCATCACCAACATCCCCATTTTGGGTTTTCTTATCAGTATTTCCACTATTGTTGCTTCTGTTTGTGGCTCCGGCATTGTCAATGATGCTTACTTGTCCCTGGATGCTGTTTGCTGTGGTGTTTTCTTCTTTCCCATGTATTCCATCATGACCATATGTTTCTGCTTTTCCTATGTCCCCATTCCAACCCTCAATATTCCCCTCTTCATTTGCTAATGTGGAATATATAGAAAAACTCTTCCCTCCTACTTCTGCCCACTCAGAGCCATTCTCTTCTCCCTTGTGACCATCTTGGGTATGCTCTTGCCTTCCTTTTTCACTTTCAAGCATGGGGACACCAGTTTCTTTAGTGGTTCCATTGGCATTTAACTCATCCTGAAAAAGAGAAACAGTTTAATTAATTATAAGTATCAATGATCTTGAAGAAAAGCAAATTCCAATCTTGGGGAAGTTAATGGAATGTAGCAACTCAGAAACAGAAAATAAAATGAAATATTTTAAGTCCTATACCTGTACTGACACTTTTGATCTCGCTAAGAGAGGTAAATTCACAGATTTTTCAACAACGTGTCTCTCCAGTGGTTTGCTCTGAGGAACCTGCCAAATAGAAAATACTGGCTATTGAAAAGGTTTTTATTTGTGAATACGTGCATGAGCATGCATGCATGCACGTGCACACGCACACGCACACACACACACACACACACACACTTTTCCCTCAATGAAGAAGAAAGATTTAACACAAAGGCCAAAGTATAATCTAATCACATAGAAAAGAGAAGTGGCTTCTTACAGGATTTGTGTAGAGTTTAAATTGGGTACATGGAAATTTTTCACTGTGGTATTACCAATTTTATGAATATGTTAGCTCAGTCCACTTATCTCAACTGTAGAAGAAAAGAGTCTTTTAGAAAGATGAGGGGATAGACTTCTGGTGTTTCTGTACAAGAAATAGCACAAGACCCACTCTAAGCGTAATCCTGACCAAAGCTCTTAAGACAACAGTAGGCATGACCAGAGCCTGCTCAGAAGCAAAATCAAGTATTATGCTATTATACTTCTATGTGCTGCAAGAGCACATCTGAAATACTTGAGAACATTTTCAACTACATGAATACCAAATTATTGTATTATGAAAGCATACCAAAATGTTAAACATGGATGCTGGCTAGGAAAATTACAAATGGTTTAATTTTCCCAACTTTTATTGGTGTTATTCTGCATATTCCAAATTTTCCACAGTGAGCACGTAAATAATAACTCTCTGAGTAAACATTAGTTTCCTATATGTTAAAAAAAAATCCTACTTTTTCCTATTATTCTTTCTTGGAAACTTCCTAAACAGTGCAAATTTTGTTCATATTAAAATGAAATTCACAGAGTGTGAAGCAAAGATTGACAAAGTCTCCATGACTTCTGGGCACTAAGTGCAAACTAATCTGAATAAATGTTTTAAATAATAATCCTTCAAACAAGACATGAGTTTCTATAGAGGAAAGCAAACATGAGTTGAAGTGGTTTTGTTGAGACCCCACAGATATCGCATAAAGCCTTTAGTGCAAATATGAATGTTTAGACTCAGCCTATTAACAAAATATTGAGGAAATATACATGCACATACACATATACACACACGTGCCTGCACACACACACACACACACACACACATATACTACATTTTGTATTAATGTTAGGTTAAAAGAGATCATAAAGTGAGGAGGTTTTCTGAGAAAGGCATACTTACTGGAATGGCCCATGCTACTGCCCAAATGCCAAAATATATAATTATCTTCATTTTCTTTAGGAATAATAATAATCAATGGCTGTAAAAAAAAAAGGAACAGCACAAAATTACTTATAAAGTAAAAGTGATCATCATAGTGCTATATTATTTTGACATGTAAGTATCTTTCCTTTTCCTAGGCAAGAAGCATGTATCTAACATGAGAAGATGTATGATGTTCCAGAACATACCTGGTGTGGTGATAGAGGCATCACCAGATTCAGCACTAATGTAGCTTCCTAGATTTTTTTCTGCCTGTGCCAATGAAGGAAAACAACCATATAGGTACAAAGGGCATAGCCATAATTTTGTTCTTCTGCAAATCTTGGATGTAAAAACATCTCTTTCTCTTCTGAATAGCTTTAATCAAGTATTAACTAATTCTGCTGAAATTGTGCTTAAAAGATGAAATACTTGTCATCTTCACTCCAAATCTATAGAATTGAGCTATACTAGACTTTAAGAGAAATAAATTATTAACATGAGGGAACCTATGATAGCAGAAAGAATATGGGGTTTGTATTCAGAGACCTGGGTTCAAACGTTACCCCTGCTACTTGCTGTGGAAGCTTGAGAAATTTAAGTAGCTGTATTATCCCTCCACCTGGGATGATAACAATACTGTACCTCAGGATTATCCTGAAATGTGGTAGAATTATCTCTGAGAAGCCCTCTCTGACTCCCCTCCAAGGATTTTTGGTATCTCTTTCCTTTTTATACCAAGTAGTTTTGCACATCTCCCTGGCAACATATTGCATTGTTTAAAATTGCCTAGTTACTTATGTGTTGCCCTGATTTATTAAAAGCTCCTGAGGCCCAAGAGAGTGTCTTGGTGATTATTGTATTCCAATGCAAAGCACAGATAAACATTTTCTGAATGTTGTTGATAAATACTTATGACTATAAGCAATATCTAGCATTGCTTCAGGCACTTTTCAGTTTTCTAATAAATGATAGCACTTATTATATGGGACTTCTAAACACACGATTCTTCATCCCTGTTAGAATTCGAATTCAGAAATGGTCTAATATATGTTTTTGATAAATTGGAATTGCTATTTTATAATCTGTGTGAGTAAAAAATTTAATTTATATTGCAAGTTGGATTTCTTGATGTAATGATGTCATTATTACAGAAAGGAGAGTTTTACTCCTATTTCATGAATTCCCACTGGATGTATAGATTATAATTCTGCGTGTCATAAAATGGCCTTGATTGAATTTAATGATGATCGTGGAAATATAATAAAACTTCACTGAATATCAACTATCATGAGAATTATTGGCATTTTCTCACACGTAAAATGACACAGTTCCAGAGGTACCGAGGGGGAAAAAAGTGCTCACTCTTAAAGCTGTTCAACAGAAAGCCAAGAAGAGCTAGAGCCCCTTCTAAAATGCCATAGATTCAAGTGAGGCTGAGGTGACACTAGGACAAGTATCACGCAAAGCTCTGGGACACAGATGTTGAAGCCCAGCTGTTTAGTAAGCCACAGTTATCCTGTACTTTGCAAGCCCAAACCTAATCATTACATAGTGCTGCAGAAGGCCTGTCTGCACTCTGATTTGGAAGAGCCACAGCATCCTGGAAAGGTATCTGCAGCCAAGGCCAGAGTGACGTGTGTCCAGTTTCTGAGCTGCAATCCGGAAATCTGACCACTACGTCTCTCTTTCAGCTCCCCTCCAGAACACTTCCACGTTGATGCTTGTCACTGTTTGCCAGGGCAGGTGAATGACTTCGAAGACTACTATAAAAATGGCCCAGGTGTTCTCAGCCTGAAGCAGAGACTTCAGAATTTTGTGAATCCCCTTCAGATTATTTCATTTATTGTCACACATGAAATGAGATTTAGCTTCATTTCATTTAGCAATTAGATTTAGCATCACTAGTGATTACTAAATCTCTTTGTATGTGGGACAATAAATAGTAAGTAATAAAATACTGAAAAGCAAAGCCTAATTAAAGCCTTGTTTGAAAGCCCAAGGTGGATTTTTTGAAATCTGAGTTATCTCATTTTTTTATCAAAACTAATCAAAGAGTCCAGATAACTAATTATCAAATTTCCACCTCAGTTGGCCAAGTTTTCAGTACGTCTTTCTTTTTCCCAATCTAGCTCTTCCTTAGCTCATAATTGTCCATTATCTTGTATATATACTATCAATAAGACAAGTCAAAAAGGAAGCAAACAATCTAATTGTTAAGGAGTACTCATTCACATACATGTACACACACACACACACACACACACACACACACAATTGCTCTTTAGGTTCTGGTCATTCACTTCTTAAAATCAAGCTGGCTTCCTCTTTGAAATTCAAAGTTCTTTCTAAACGAATCAGTTGGTTCTGAGTAAAAAGGATGTTTCATCTTACCTTAAAAGGCTTCAAAAGAACTTTGAAAATCCAGAATTTCTTATCTTTCTTTTTGAAGACTGAAAGTGGCCCTACTGTCCTGGACTTTTGCATGACAATTTTGTACCTGCTGAAATTTAAACTGAGTTTGATAATTTTCTCAACCAATCACTGCTTAGGATCCCTGATACGGGGTTATAAAGTGTCATCGTGTCTACGAAGCACATAATAACTTCCCCACTTCCTTCACTTGCTGATATGTATTTGCTCACTGAACCGTCCAGTTCCAAAAGGACTAGACTTACTTTCACTTAATTAAATAGCTCCTGTGAGGCTGTTTCACATCTTAAATATAGAGAATCGGTGTAACATATCTGAAAAGAGCCACTTAAACTCTGTCACCCAGACATTTCTTGTCTTGCCAAGGTTGGCAATCTAAGAAAACTCTAGGTTTCTTTAGTAAATATGACTGCCTATTTAAGACCCCTATCATTCCTGAGGTAGGTATTAAAGTTTCTGTGCTATAATTCAAGAAACTGTCCACATGCAACAGCCTTTATGTTGCCTGAGGGATCTTTAACAATCTATAAACAGTAACTCCCCTGAAATCCCTCTGATTTAACTGAAATAAGCAGTGAGATAAAAGTTTAAAAATCTGTCAATTGAGTATTCAGACTACATTTTAAAAACAGACATTCAAAATATCAAAAGTAGCAAGATGTTCAAAGGTGCATAAAGACAATGGATTTATCTGTCCATTGTCTCTCAATTATCTGTTAGATGCAGAATGCAAAATAGAAAATCAGACTTTATGTCTAACAAGTTTTGGGACCAGAATGCTAGATGTAATATAATGCAGGTAATCCCTAAACCATTCCTTCATTTCATGCATTAAAAAACTTGACAGTCTCTCTGTATATACTTGTTTAGAATTTTCAGGAATATGCCAACTTTTGTGTTACAATATTAAAGAATGTGAAACACATAAGACCACTATATCACTATGCAACAGTGGTATCTCTAGAATATATATACAAAAATCCATGGTTTTTATACAGCACAAAGCTTTATATGAAGGGAAAACAATAAGGTTAAAACAAGTGAAGGAAATGGTAAGGATATTTGCCTTGAAGCTGTTTTCAAAGTGAATACTTTGTTTTTATTCCCATAGTGAATTTACTTGGGCAGATTAAAGAGGCTAACAACTTTTAAGAAGGCTCAAGTCACTTCTGGTCATGACACCCTCACCCACACATACATTCATCAGTGGAGGTTGGTGAACCAAACCTGCCTTCCTTTTCCTTAACTTAAATTAACATGAATTATAGTCAAAGATTTCAATAGCCGTCTCTTCACAACTGACAGAAAAACACAATGGATATACAAGCTTTAAACAGAAGTATCATCCAACTTGATCTAATTGACATTTGCAGATCACTTCATCCAACAACAGCAAAAGAAACATTCTTTTCAAGTGTACCTGGACCATTTACCAAGATAGAACGTAGTATGAGCCCCAAAACAAATCTCAATAAATTTAAAAGAATTAAAGTCATACAAAGTATGTTTGCTGACCAAAATGGAAGGCAAATAGAAATCAGTAACAAAAGAATTCTGGAAAACCCCAAGTATTTTAAAGCTAAGTGGAACACTTATAAATAGTCAATGGGTGAAAGAAGAAACCAAAAGGGAAATTCAAAATATATGGGATTGACGAAAATGAAAGCACAGCATATCAAAATTGGTGGGTTGTCACTAAAGCAGGACTTAGGATGAAATTATAGCACTAAGTAGCCATATATGAAGAGAAAAAGTTTCAAAACAATGACCTCAGTTTCCACCAAAGAAGGAAAAATTAAATTCAAAGTATGTAGAGGAAAAGAAATAATAAATATCAGAATTGAAATTAATTAAATAGAAAGCAGAAAAACAGTAAAGTCAGTGAAACCAAAAGCTGATTCTTTGAGGAGTTCAATAAAATTTAGAAGATTCTTTCCATACTAATGAGGGAAATAAGGGAGAAGACACAAATTAGCTATATCAGGAATGAGAGAAATAACAATTCTACAGATTTTATAGACATTCTATAAATATTCTATAGGGGATAATAAGGAAATACTAGAAACATCTTTATGCTAATAAATTGACGACTTAAATGAAGTGGAAAGATTCCTTAAAACTGTCAAAACTCACTCAAGAAAAAATAGAAAACTTGATTTGCCTTGTATCTATTAAAGAAATTAAATTCATAGTTTAAAACTTTCTCAGAGAGAAAACTTTGGGCCCAAATGGTTTCACTTGAGAGGCATTGGTGGTTCAGTGGTAGAATTCTCGCCTCCCAAATGGTTTCACTGACAAATTTTATGACCTATTTAAAGAAGATGTCATTACAATCCTACACAAACTCTTTCAGAAAATTGGAAAGGAGAAATACTTCACAGCTCATTCTGTGATGTCAGCATTACTGAAATACCAAAAACAAAAATAATATAAGAATATAATACTACTAACCTATATCCATCACAAATGTTAATACAAAAATTTTAAGTAAAATATTAGTGAATCAAAGTCAACAATAAGATTTTAAAAGATAATACATGATTAGCAAATAAAATTTATTCCAGGTATGCAAGGCTGGCTTAACATTTAATATTTAATCAATGTAATTCACCAGACTATCAAAGACAGAAAACCACATAATCTCATAGGCAAATAAAAACATTTCAAAAATCCAA